TTACAATACTTATAATTTTAAATCAGCTCCATCAGTGAATTTCAGTTTCTAACAACGTTTGCAAAGCCTAATTTTACTGTTACGGTATAAGATTTGTTGATTACAATAGACAAGAATTCGATTAGTCGAAATATTCGCTGTTACAAGACTCATAGACAAGCCATATTATGGAATCCACAGCGTAAAGGCTTTTAGAGCCTCTGAAGATTCAGCCATGCAAATTTCATGTCAGATTCGTTAGTTTTGTGATCACAGAGCTGAAATGAAAGGTCGGAAGCGAAATTTTCAGAGTAGTGAAAAATCTTTTCAAAATCACTACTTTTTATCGAAAAAAAGTGTAAATTTAGTACCAGTTACTCTTTTCTGATACCCACGAGTCTATAATTTATCGTCTTTTCAAACTCTTCAGAATGCAACCTGTCCAACGGAAATATTCAATTTTTCTAGTCTGACATTTGTAAGATTTTTGGGTAAAACAGACTGATGATAAAAGTTGCTGTCACTGCTATAAGCTTAACTGCACTAATGCGACAAAAAACCATACGTACCACAGTTGATGCCGATCACCAATCTCCCAAATATTAGCAACCAGTAGCTGTTGGCAACTTTGCAGAATCCCATAAGACAGGCAGCAAACAAGGCGATTATGTTGTTCAACAGCATACCTCCTTTCCTAAACCGAAAATTATAAAAGATTCAACCATTTAGTCATTAAATATCTAATATTATTATATTTGAATTTAAGCGGCACAAACTCCAGTGCTGTTAAATGGCTTTTAAGTAAATTATGGGCGTGAAAATTTAACAACGTAATATTAATGTATTTCAATTCTTTCGCTGACCACCCCTAACTGACAACGTTATGATCTTGTCAGCGTTATACAGGATGGGTGGATTAATCATTTGCAGCAACACTGAAACTATCTCTATACCTTTAAAGTAAATTTTCAAATCGCATAACTGCAAATTAAATTATATCACTTACGCAATGCCGTCGTGTAGCTCAATATATCTAATAATTTAGTTATTGACTGCTGCGGAGTTTTGAGCATGGTATTTTTATTTACTCTCAGATCAAAATGCCTACTGGCCCACGATGAATCTATCAATCTTAGGGCTAGTAAAACAGACTTCCAAATCTAATTCGCAGATCATACCCGAGCAAAAATGTAAAGAAAAAGCAAAGAAATTACTTTATAGATTTGTCCACTATTGAATAGACTCTTCGTAAAACATCGTTCAAAGTTCCCAAGAGCAATCAGCAACGAAAAATACTGAAGAAACCGCTTGGAATTGCAAAGTTTAAATCTTAAATTTTCCAGGTATTTAAAAGGTGCGTTGCAACTTTAGAAAAGATTAGTGACAATCGTATGAATCCTTCAGACTGGTATACTTAAGTCTTTCCGTTATGGAATGTAATGTTAATAAATTCAATAGGCATTCAAACAAGTTATGTCAAATTTTATTAAAATGTCTTGATAGAAGACTAGAAACTCATGCAACTCTCACGCCTCGTGGGAAATAAAGGAACAGAACAATCGCAAATGTCATCCCTCTGAAAGTAGAATATCAATTTTCATCATAATTTTCGAACTGACAGCCTAGCAATGGCGAGAATACAAATAAAGGAAATTACACGGAAACAGTAATAAACATAACGTGTCACATCAGCAGGCTTTCCCACCTGATAATCCATATTATAACGTCAACGATCTCATATATTTATGTCGCTACTGAAAAAGTTTAAGTCTAGATTTGATAATAAATTTAAATTACACAATACTAAAGCAGAATAAATGAGAAATCGTAAACGATGCGCAAATAACGACTGATGCTGCAAGCTATTATCACAAACCTGCCAAATCGATCGGCAACGAATCCGGAAAATGTTCCGCCAATCATACCACCTAACGCAAATATGCTAGCGATTCCTGACCAGATGAGCTCGATGGTGCCTTCTGAGTAGGTGCCGTTTGTCGATTCGTTTATCCATCTTCTGATACTCTAAAACAAAACCATGTAGACAAAATAAAGAACAATAAACGTCTTTCAGCTGAACAATATGAACTAACGCCAAAGACTCTTTGCAGAGTGAGGTCAATTCGACGTTGCAAAGGTTTAATGCAACACTGCACTCGCCTTCAATATCTGCAGCTTTTTACACACAACGTCACAGTCCCTAGTCAATTTCGACGCCAGTTGTCAACCACCGTGGCCTGTGACTACGGTTCGGGTATCGGTCGCAGACAACCGTAGATTTGGCACGCTACGAATAATTAAGCTGCCAGGTAGCTTGGTAACCATCGTAATGCATTAACAAAACGAAAAATTTAAATTAGGTAGCTTCGTTAGACAGAAATGTGACGAATTTAAAGATTGAGGATATATTCACCTCTTTTCAAGACACGCATTTTGCTGTTCTCAACTTAACAAAGCTCTAACTGAATTTGCTATGATTACTGAAGGTTAGAACGACATTTCAGGCTACATCATATTAATATCTATACTATAAACGCAATATTAAAACATGGGATCGCACATCAAAGTGAATAGTTTTACATTAAAACTTTAAAAGGCTGAAAACAAGAAAAACATGAAAAGATGGCATCACTGCCGTAAAATACACTTTGGCATTAAGAATCTACATAACATTTTCTGAACCCTGCAGCACCATTAATGTTAAACAAAGCTTTGCTAAAGCAAGTAAAATGTAGCACGTCCAATCTATGCACAGAGTAAAGCAGTGATATTGCTACTGATTTCACTGCACTTCCTACGCTTCCATATCTTGTTCGCTGAAAATTTAGCAACTTCATGTTCTTAGACAGTCTAGTAATGTTACTTTCGGCATTCTTGACTAATCCGTCTACGTGATTAACAAGGATTACCATTCCGTAGTCTCAATGCTTATGCTCGTCTGTCACCAGAGACTTTCCCCAGAAGCTTCTATAACTATTTTAGTTCATCGTACTATCTGAACTGAGGTCTTACTACCGGTAACGTGCAGACCTTTAGGTACCGATTCATTACCTTTAAGTTTATGTCTCCGTCAGTCGTGCGACGTGAAATGCAAATTAGCGCTCTGTTTCCTTTGAAACCGATACATCGTCTTGTATTCAGGTCTGTTTTATTTCTTCATTTTGTAGCCCACTGACACACGATTATCTTTTTCTTCCATTTTCGTTAATGCCAAGGTCTCAGTACAAAGCAATTCCATTCTTTCACATAAAAATTGTAGCTTGGTTGAATTCGTCTTTCATCATCTTCGTTTCCGCCATGTGTATCGGATATATAATTTTCTGGCTTTTTAACTATACATCTCCAGCATGACGTGGACATCTTTCAACGTGGACCAAAACAGCACTGGTATTTTGTCTGTTTTGGTGCAGCCAAGAGTCAGATATACGAAGCTCATTCAAATATGTTTCTCACAACACAAAATAACAATTGCACCGATACTAGTTATGACAACGGGGAAGGAAACACACTCACCGTTTCAGGAGAATTTATCACGCCGATATTGTAACCGAATATGAAGGCCGACCCAAAAGCCGCTGCGCAAACTGCCACCACCAAAGGCCAAGTAACACCACCCTGAAATGAATATGTTTGACAAATCTAAGTGAGCAATATGCAAATGTTAAAATGAAAGCAAACGAATTTCACGGCTATTAAAGCAGAGAATAACTGCTTAACTGTAAGATGAGCGTCAATCGAACTATACAGAAGACAGGGGACTGTGATCATCGCTGTCTCAACGACAAAAATTATCATCAAAGTTATGAGTACAAGCACCTATTCGTTACAACAACAGATTCGATATATAACAAATATGATCTGGAATAGGTCAGTTCAGAATTGAGCCATAAATCGAAAGAACGTGAGTATGGCTTTTAGTAGGGGGGGGGGAGTGTGGAAACCCGTTCATCGTTCAAAGATATAATAAAGGCATT